ACTTGTTCTATATACTTTTATACTTTTTGCTGAAGCTTTATTCTCTTTAATTTGGCCAATTGTTGATACTTTTCACCAAACCTTATTCTTCAAATCACCCAGGCACCCTCAAATACCACTCTCTATGAGGCCCAATGGTGATTTGAAAATCTGTCACTAAAACACTCACCCTGGTTGTTCCTTTGTTTGAATGGTCAAGAACTATGACTTCTTCAAGAACTACTCTGAGATCTGTTATGTTTATTTATGTTTTTTAATCCACAGATTATCATCTGCAATTATCTGGAACAACAAGAGATAGCCCTCTGTGTGGGAGATTCACAATTCTCTTTGCTGACTTTCATCTCAGTGTTTACAACTGATATCAGGACACGCACTTTAAAAAGTTTCACTCAGATATAAAGCAATGTAAACATATTTAGTCTTAATAATAAGTCTTAATCTTACACTTACATTGCTGATACAGATACATTAGTGTCGAGCAGAGTTAAACAGTGTGCATGTAGATAGACTCTTTGTGACAGGAAACAATTGCACACACAAAACGCACAAGCACATGCAGCAGAGCAGGATTAGCCCTGGCAGCATTTTGGTTGGAGCCTTATCTGAAGTAATGGTGGATGAGAGTCTTGATTCATTTTCCCCTCTCCTGTCACACTGAGGAGTTCTTTGCCTGGGGACAACACTTCTCGCATAATAACACCCTCAGTATCAAGAACACACTTGTGAGTCATCCTGCATGTTTAACACAAATATGCAGATTCTCACTAGTTATGATCTTATCATTTACAAATCCACATGCTTTATCATGTGTTTTCATCTTCAGCTTGCTCTTTGTTTTTGAAGCACAGGCAATAATATATATATATATATATATATATATTTTTTACATAATGCAAACATGACAAGTACCATCGGCTCCTTGTAATGCTAACTGACAGATGAGAATAGAGCGCTTAGTTTTTTTCACCTTGAAAGGGCTCTCTTTTAATGTCATGTCATATTAGTTGATGTCACCTGGGACAGGGCGTTAATAATGGAGATGAATGGAACTGTCAGTGGAAGGGAACAGGTGTTTTATACTGACACACAGGCACAGAGAGGAGAAGACAGTCGCGCTGAAGGAAAGTGATAAAGGCAACATGAACGGCTGCAGGCAAGTATACTGTATACACTTTAATTAGGCACTGGGAGAAAACAGATCATCTTGGGAAAGAGATACACAGCTACGTATTTTCCAAGAGGAGTGTACCACTACACTCTCCTGCTGAATGTCAAAACCACAACTGAAGACCCTTCAGTTCGCTAGATGGAAATACAAAATTGGTTAAAAAATCCACTAGAAACTAGCATTTTTTGGCATATTTTGGCAGCAATATTGGAAACAATTACAACGTACTTTAACCTACTTTGATGCTCCATATTTTCTTTTTGCGGTAGTGGTCCAACAGGACAAGCAGTGCTTGTCCAGTGAAATCCAAACCAGAAATTTCAATAAGGAGAAATTCATTGGAAAACATTGACTAGATTTGTTTAAGTACAAAGCTTTTATCATATTATATTAATATAATTATATCCTATTTGGCAACTGGACTCTATGCTGAGGTAGCAGAGCAGAGCAGAGGAGGAAGCGGGAGAAGACCTGTGCAGTCTAGATGCTTGTGGTAGTAGAAAGGGAACAAGTGGAAGATTGATCTCTGATTGACGCAGTGGAGATGGGGAAGAGCTAGAAGAAGAAGAATTGATTTTGACAGCATGGGAAAGAAGTGATTAAAATAATAGACTAAAACCCAAATAGCTTTGGATACAGGCAGGCAAGTGCATACAGATCTTTGTTGTTGAAAGTACGCACAAGTTTATCAATTTGAAAGTTCAAGCTTGTCGAGCTGAGAGGACAGCAGCTGTTTTTGGTTGTTGCACATGTGCATTGCAGATAAATCTCTCGTGTTTGACGGGAAATTTATAGAACACTAGTGACTAGACAAGCTACTGTTTGCTTTGGTTTCAGTGCACTGAGATCAGTTGCTATTCTTTGCAATGTGTAGAAACAGAGCCAGTGTTTGCAAGTAAATGTGTTATCATCAAAGCCTGGATGATAGAGATGGGACATCAAATGCAAATCTATTCTTCTGCAAAAGTCATCACATGCCATGGCTCTGCCTGGAGCTTGAGCAAAAGCCACATAAACAGCTTGTCCTCACTAGATTTTAAAGCAGTTTATAGATGAAAAGCTGCCCTTCTCCTTCTCCTTCTCCTCCTTTTGTGATAGCTATTATAGTTTTGCATTTTTTAATTTCTATTTATTTTTATTTAATTTTACATTTTCAGTGCAGTTTAGTTTAAAGCCTAGGTTATACTCTGTTGTGGACACAGACACAGAAAGATAGACCTCTGATAGTGGAATAGTCATTCTTTTTATACTTCTTTGACATCCACTCGAGGTCTGCCGTCTGGGGACCAGGTCTAGTTGGTGTCCAAAAACAGGCAGGTGCACGAACATCCGTAAGAACCATTATGCTAACCATCTGATAATGTAATTTTTATGTCACTGGGTCCTGAGTGGGCCCTAGCAGACTCATAGACATGGAAAGCATAATCCCTGCTTAGATCATTTTTATGATTCAAAAATGTATTACATGTAATAGTCATTAGTCATTAGTTTAGTTTTTTTCAAAGTAAACATTATCTTTTAAGTGAATTTATTCGCATCATCTAAGGTGAGGGTTTGGTATCTTTCCATGATTACTTTTCGATTTTTGGTTACTTTCCTAATCCAAACTCCAAATAAACTCTGTCAAACATTGTGAGCAGAAAAAGAGGAAATAAAAGTCAGACAGCTGGACAGAAAGACACAAAAATAAATAAAAATAAAGCTGACAAAAAATGATGACGGGCACATGGAGTGGCAGCAGCTGTTGAGATGTTGGATGTATCACTGACACCACACTGAGCTCAGAGCAGAAGTGCAAAGTGAGAGGAATTTGGTGAGGAGAACGCGTGTGCGTGTATTTGTGTTCAGATGCGCCTGCTTGTGTCTATCAACGGCTGAGTGACTGAGTACAGCAACAGCTGTGACAGACCTCTCGAGCACAGCTTCACTGATATACGACACACATGAAGGCATGCACACACGACTTAGTCAGTCCTGTAGCAACAGCAAATCCAGGAGACGCTCTTCTAAAGCACAGCATTGGAGTTTGTATAGTTTGCATTCATCTACTCTCTTTTTAAAAAAAAAAACTCTATTAAGGATTTTCTTCTAGACATTCTCGCTTTTGTTTTTGCTGAATCTAATCAAGGAGTTCTTCAAAAGAAGTGGTTGGAAATGGCTGTTTTGATGAGAACAAATCTCTTTTGATCATGACTGACACCAGAAATGTTGCAGATTTCTTCTTCTTTCACTTTTCTCTACTTTGAAGGATATTCCTTCATTTCAGTCACAACAATGGTCTCCCAGAGCTTGACTCTTTAAGCGGATTGCTTTGTTTTGGGGGGATTTCAAGGCTGCAGAAATCCAGCACCTGGACTAAACTGATGTCCACCATTGGCTGTCGTTCCTATTGTGGTGTTTTTGTGGATGACTCACTCAGGGGTAATTTTCCAGTTTGCTAACGCTCGCCATGCTGGAGCACCCTCCATGTGTCCGGATTGACCCTGCCCCTTTCAGGCCTCAGCCAATCAGATGCAACATGGATAAGCCAGATATGCGTTTTGAGTTAGAGCGCCAAGCCTGTCAGAGTCTCAGACAAGGTGGGATACCTGTTTCTAGTCACGTTTCCAGTTCACATACAGCACATGAACATTTTTAGAGCTGCACTCACACAACACATGAGGATTTGAAAATGTGTGTAGCTCAGTTTGATTGTATTAGTAGTTCTTTTTAAGTAAAGAAATTCGGTGAAAATGTACATTGAATATTTGTAGATATTACATCAACTGTTTTAAAAGTTTAGGCTTTCCCATCAAAGAATAGAGGTTTATTTTCTGGGCCGAGGTGTTAATGGGATCAAATATTCTGCTAGTGCCTTGGTTACAGTTGGGGCACAGCCAGCCTGGGCACAGCACACGTCGCCTTGAGCAGATGAACCGAGCAACCTGTTGGCTGGAGGTCCCTGGGCCTTGAACCAAAGTATCTGGACAGAGAGGAGTGTGGACCAATTTAGACAAGGACAAACTCCAAGAGGCTTTAGTTTCTTTTCATTAAAAATTTAAAGGCATGTTATGGTGCATTGCCACAGTTTCAGTTATTGAAAAATATGCAATAACTAATAAATAGCAAAATAACAGCCGCAGCTATGCCTAGCAGAGACTGCCCATGCATCCTTTCACCACATCGCTTCTCACGTTTTCCCATCAGACCGAGTTTGCACAACCTTTTAAGCTGTCCTTACACTTTATGTACTTGTGTGCGAGTTGGCAGTTTACAGTAATGTTCCTCTTAATTCACAGGGCGGTCTAGAGGGATTGGGTTTCGAGTGGTTACAGCATGGTCGGAAATAGAAAACTTGTGGGGCGGGGGAGAGAGGGGGGACACAGAGGCAGACCACAGGTTGGGGGCAGACAAGTGAGTCTGAACTGCCCACTACATCGTGTTTACCATACAGAAGACTCCTTAGGAAACAAGAAAAGACTGATGGATAAAGACACACTGTAACTGACTGTCTCTCCACAACTTTGAAATAGAGGTGGTCCACAAATCCATGCACATTCAATTTAATGTAGAAAGCACTCTGAGTGAACTGTTCACACAGAAGTGAACCAGATGTGATACATCGGCTAGTCATTATCACTGTCACACATGCAAAGCGGTCAAATATGTGAAAATAATTGTGTTATTGTTATATATATTTGGAGGCCCCGGGGCAGACCCAGGACACGCTGGAGAGATTATATCTCTCGGCTGGCCTGGGAACGCCTTGGTGTTCCCCCGGATAAGCTCGAGGAGGTGGCTGGGGAGAGGGAGGTCTGGGCCTCTCTGCCTAGGCTGCTGCCCCCGCGACCCGGCCTCGGATAAAGCGGATGAAGATGGATGGATGGATGGATATTTGACTACCTCCTGTACTTGTACCTCTGTGTCCTCAATGAGTGTTTTGGACACCTCATCATGCATCAATTAAGATGTGAATTGACATCATTAAACAGGTTCTGTCAGGGAGGCTGTGTATCAGGCAGGAGTTGGATCCAAGATGCAGGATTCAAAGGACAGAAAGTAAACTAAAAAGCAGCTTTAATGCTGAGCCTGAACAAAGCACACAACATCAAAGACTAGAAACGAGGAAACCGAAGCTACAAATCTTCTAAGAAACCACACTGGCAGGGAGGACACAGCCATGAGGAAGAATGTGACAAGGGTCAAGGAAATACTGAGACAATACATATAAACACAGAGGATAACGAGGGAACAGCCAACAGGTGGGGAAACAGCTGAAACTAATTACAGGTTACAAGACAGGGGAAATAGAGCTAAATACAAAGCAGAAGAGATGTGAGACCGCCAAAATAAAACAGGAAGAAACAGTGCACGGGAACTGAAACACAGATAAGACAGAAGGCTAAACAACCACAGAGACAGACTATCTTCACAAAAATGCATGGGGAGCACAGGAGGAGTATGATTACAGAAAAAACATAGAATACAAGCAAAGTAGAACCAAGATAACAAAACTAAGAAGACGTGAGGATACAAATAGTAAAAAACAAAGGAATTACAGCTATAATGAGAACCAAAACCTGGAATAACCATCTCAAACTCAGTATATCCAATAAATAAGAATTCAAAAGTCCAAACACAGAAGATACTGGGTCAAAGACCCAGGATTATGACCACTTCTGAGTTTTTCCAAGGATACCCTAGTAAGCTGTACAGGAGATCAGCCTCACTGATTTCTGATAAACACTCAGTCTTTTTGTTCTGGAAGAAGAGGTTTGTGACAGATGAAAATAAGTTGTAGCATATGAATGGTCTCGTTTTACCTACATTTTGATACCAGGCTCGTCTTCTAGCAGTGATGCCTTCTATGTAAAAACGTTTTTTTAATATGCCCATGTAACTGGCTTATGGGGTGGCTATGAAATAGAGAAATAACACTGGTGTCCATATTATGTTGCTCAAACAACTTTAAGTCATGAAGAAATTTCTTAGGCTCAGTGCAGTCTTTGCAATTTGTTGCTTCATTGCCTGTTCAGCTTGTGACAATTTTAGTTTCCGATAATGCAATTCAATTCACCAAATCAAAAACAGTCGCCTGAATGCTTTGTATTGTAAGGTAAAGACCCTACAATAAAACAGAGAAAACCTCAACAGTCAAATAACCCCCTTTGACATAGATCCGATGTTTCATTTTACTCAATGAGCACAATGGGCTCTTTTGCATGGTCAAAGTGCTGTATGCATAAACTGTTTATGACTAGGCTAAAGCGAGACTTCCTCTTATGTAGTAGCGTTTGACCAGTGAGTGCACATTCCAAACATAGATTCTTTCTCAATACATACAGTAACATCACTTTGCAAATGTAAGTGTTTGTCAGTGTGTGTGTGTTTATGTGTTGATGTGTGATTACACTATGCCACCATAAGTGGAGATTAAAATGTGCATCTGCACTGCAATGTATGTTTGCGTGCGTATGCAAATATTATGCATGCTTGTAATGAGTATCTGTGTTAGTGTTTGCTTAGTGTGGCTGCCCATGTTTCCCTGCAGGAGCCAGTTAAATCTTTCCTGCTGCCAAGGGGAGAAACTGCACCATCCATGTCAGCCAAGTCCTCATCACAGAAATCAAAGCGATTTGAATGTTTTTGTAGTCGCTCATGAGGACTATCTGTAGATTCTAATGGGCCACAGTAACACAGCATGGTCCCATTTTTTCCAACTCAGGGAAGAAAATGTAGGCCACACTCAAATTTCTGAAAACATTCAGCTTGTCCTTATTAAGTAAGACTTTTTACAGGTATAAAGACAGAAGACATGAACCTGAAAACCTGAAAATGTAAAAGGAAGACAGGAGATTTAAGAGATAGATGTGGAAGTTTGGATTCGGGTTTAGAAAAGACTTGAAATCTGTTAATATCCAAATCTTGTTCATTACAGTACATACAGTGCAAAAATATTGACTCGTCCTCATTTCTTTATATATTGTTTCCAGTGAATTTCTTGTCATTTTGTCATTGTTCAAGTGGTCTTTAGTAATAGTTCTATAGGTTTTCTGAAAGTCTATCAAAGTTTTTCTTTGAACATTAGCAGTGTGGGATCATTTTGACAGAGAATGGAACAAAGGCAGCCAACATCCAAAGACCTGTGAATGTCCTTCAAGAAGCCTGGAGAATTATTCATGAGGAATTCTTAAAGAAATGATAAGAAAGTTGCCTAAGACATTTTTGAAGAACAAAGGTGGTTTTACAAAATATTGACTTTCTGGCTTGTTAAAATTGTACAACCACCTTTGCCTTATGTGCCATATTTCCAGTTTGTACATGTTTTAAAAAAGTAGCTTAACCTAATTCCCATTTTCCTAGAAAATGGGAAGAAATGAGGGGTAGATGTTTGCATAGTACTGTATTGCAATTAGTGGTTTCAGTGTTTTCTGTGCAGCATTTCATCTATTTTAACCTCTTAAGCCCCAACACCCCGGATACAGGGGCAAAAGGCAGGAGATCGCATTTGGGGTTAGGCGTTGGGGCTTAAGAGGTTAACCTGATTTCAGTTCTCTAACAAACTGGGCAATAATATGTCTATTATTTATCATATGGAAGCAATTAACTCATACCCCTAAGGTTTCGAATGTAATTTTCTGAAATTATCGGCCCTTTGTTAGTCATTGGTGCTACTTTCGGTCATTACACAAATGTACTGTTTATAAAGTGGGGGAAACCTGCAGTCAGGTGAGACTGAAGAAGTTACTTGGATGAAAAAGGAAAAGTTTCTTCCTCTATAAACACTATGACCAGATGAACCAACTTTCTGTGATCCCCACTATTATTTGGTTAAATGTCCCTTGGCAAGTTTCACTTCGGCCAGCTTCTTTTGGTCGCCACCAAAAAGCTTCTGGCTTGAGACTGTCTGGATATTTGACCATTCCTCGTGAAGGAATTGGTAGTTGAAGTTAGTGTAAATTGGATGGTTTCTTTGCATGGACCTGGCTTTTAAAGAATAGTACATACATTTTAATAGGTTTGAACTTGGGGATTTCAGAAGCCTATTCCAGAAAATGGAATGGTCAGTCTAAATGTTAGCCTGCTTTATTCAATAATCTTTATGGTCAGACGGGATACAGTTGAATGCCCCAACAGGATAAAGATCCCAAAGATTCAGCAAAACTGTTTTTTTGGAATAGCTGAAGGGTAACATTAAGCTTCTGAAACTGGCTTCTGAAAGCTCCAACCTTAACTCTTTTGAAAATTTGTGGCCCATCATTGAAAAATAAATCTTAACCAGGAAACCAACCAATTTAAATGAATTAACAATTTTGTCAAGAAAAAGTGGTACGATGTCCAGCCCAGAGTTTATTGATGGCTACCATAGGGTTTTGGTCAAAGTGGTACATGCCGAGGGACATTTAACCAAATATTAATGGTGGTGTATGTACATTTGAGTCTATATGTACACTTTTGACCCCGTGTTGAGAAAATCCATAATAAATTCAAACTTTTTTTACCTAATTCTTGTTTTTTAACATCGTGTCCATAGTCAGTTTCCCCCTGGAGAAAACAGTTAGAAGACAGCCCAAAATCACCTACATTTAACCAAACTGTATTTCTGCATTAGTTTATTTCTTTTACTTGTCTAAAATTGACAAAGTGCTGATCAAGCATACCCACATGGGTTCTTAGCCCATGGTGGAGGAATACTCTGATGAGGAAAGACGAGCTACAGTTTGAATGTCACTGGGGTGACAGTCAGCTTCAGCCCAGAAAGTACAGCAGTAAATTTTCACTTTATGGATATGTCCTTTCAAACCACTGATCAGACATTATGGCTCAGCACTGAGTACTGGATTTGTACTTACTGTAGAAGGTTAAATTTAAACATTTAATAGAACCTATTTAGGAAAATGAGAACAAAATGTGACCAGGCAAAAAACAAAAAGAAAGAATATTATAACACAGCTATTCTGTTGTGCATTTCCTCACTTTGTCATAAGATTTTCCCCAAAAACTATCAAAAGATGCACGCGCTTCATTTGTGTTAAAAGAAACAAGCTAAACATAAATGTCTGGCTTTGCTACATGGGATTCAAAACCTGCAGCTGAGACCAAAAGTTATTTATTAATCCCACTCAATCACCACGTCACATTGTCATATTGCCTGATCTGCTCTGAAAAGACCTGTGATTGTAGGTGAAGTTATTTCTTATTGATAGTCACAACTTATAATACGCTGTGCAACACCTCAGCCACACTTCTATGTGGCAACTGTGTGTACTAATACTGTGGATGCAGAAAGTCAGAGTGCGTGAAAAAGACCTTCACACTCAAAACATTTCCAGCTACTGCATTTTACTGCAACTCACTGCTCAGATCAAAGTGCTGATGAACAGAAAATCCTTTCCTGCCAGTCCATATTTTCATATCACCTTGAAGTTCAGCCCTCAAAATGTTTTGCAGATATAAATAAAGTTGTGTGAACAAATCAATAATTTATAAAATACAATCAAACAAGCATCAAGTTCAATCCAGGCGCTCTCAAAATGAGCAGTCTGCTGTCTTTTTTTTCTCACACTCTGTGGGATCTTGTAATGTCACGAATGTGTGACTGTGGGCTGCCATTTCATCAAAAACGTGAAACAGGAAACTGCCAGTACGTGTGTTCATGTGTGTGTCTGACTTCCCTTTGTAGTGTGTTACATAACCTTTGTGCATCCGATCATAAAAGATCACAATATTTGTAGCAGCTAATAGTGTAGACAGAAAAGTCCTCATAGAGTAACTTGGATATATCACTGCTTCAATCTACTGCTTTCATTTTGCTCGTGGGCATTTGCTTAGTAATGTCTCTACCTTTGTGGCGTTCGGTGGGTGAGAACTGAGATAAACATGCATACACACTCAGTCTGATGATGTTTTCCATTCATTCTGCCGCTACTGACTTGCATCTTGGTGTTCAGTTCTTCAGCTGAAGTTGCAACAGAGAAGGAGCAGAGAGGAGCTCGTCAGCCAGGGGATCATGCCACGTAAGTTACAACAAATTTTTTTATTTGTCATTTTGAAAGCTCAAAGTTTTTCTTTGGACACTGGCTGCTTTTTCACTGATTTTCAGTCCATTCCCTGTATCTCGCCATTTTCAGTAGAATGCTTTTTGCTTCTTTGTTTGTTTGTTAAGCCACTAAACACTGACCGATCAATCATTCAAGCACTTAACTTAATAGATAAACCAGAGTTGTGTCTACACATAAGGGGCAACTTATCAAAGAAGTCATTTTAACTTAAATAGACTGATTGTTACTGGCAGCCTATCACAAGAACATCTATTTTGTTCCCATTTTTTCAGTTGAATTTATCCAAAATGTCAAACGTAGCAAATTTTGATATAAATAAAACTGAATTTCACATCAAATTCTGAAAGAGTTATTTGTCATGACATATAACAGCATGATGTACAGAGTCTGAACAGTATCTGAATGTCATCTCCTAAGAAACAGGAAAAACTCCAGTAACACAGGACCTTTAAAAATTTCAGAAATTGTCATCAACACATACTGATGAGGTCAGGAGAAAAGTACAACCATGGGTATCTACAGCCGTCTGTACAACACTCTGTCATGGTTTAGGGATGCATTTTAGTGAGTGTTGTTGTGGATCTTGTCAAAATTGATGGAATTATGTACACAGAATTATGATTCGAGTTTGACTGACCATGCAACACCATCTGGAATGATGAAAAAGATGAAAAAGATCCCAAATACACCACCAATGCAGTAAAAGGATAGAAAAAGAGACTTAGACTTTGAGACTTAGAGCTTTTTATTGTCATTGTGCAGTTTCTTGCACAGCCAGATTGGGTAGCTGGACCACAAAGATGCAAAAGTAAGAAGAGAAAACAATATACAACGAGGGGGGGAAGAAAAAAAAAAAATATATATATATATGAGTGAAAAACACACAGTGGAATACTATCAGTCATGGATTGGCCTCCCCTGGACCTCAACATTATTGAAGCACTGTGGGGTCTTCTTGACAGAGATCAGCACAAACAGCAGACACATCCAAAGCTTTGAAGCCTGGAGAACTATTCCTGAAGGCTACTTAAAGAAATGACAAGAAAGCTGCCTAAGACAGTTCAGACTGAAGACTAAAGGTGGTCATACCAAATATTGACTTTCAAGCTTTTTAGAATTGCACAAACTCTATCTTACCTTATTGCCCACTTTATTTCCATGCATGTGTGCATGTTTCAGTAAATTGTGTCCGTGGTCAAGACTCTTCACCTACTGGTGATGGGCTGATGGTGCGATATGGCAGCCTCGGCTCTGTCAGTCTGTCCCAGGGCATGCAATCCATTATTATTTAAACCAACTGTTAACTGTATATTTCTGTACATTTATGTATTATGATTCATATTGCCACATTCATTGACCTTGTTTATAGGTAATTTCATTGTTTGATCACGTTAAGATGTTCCTAATTTAATGTTTAAAAGCACTTGGAAAAGGCAGAATGCCATGTAAAACTAGCGCAACAAACTGTATTGTCATTACTGAAAATAACCGTATTTTTATGAGGAAGTTATTTTCTGTTATGTTACGGTAGTATTTTGGCGCCCCAGCTGCTGGAATATTACCGTTTTTTAAAGATGTTTTTTTTAACAGTGTGACTATTGCTGATGGCAGCAGTTTGTAGAGATTATGAGCAGGGTGTGGGGAGTCTTTTATGATATTCCCTGCTTTCCTGAGACAACGAGAGCAGTGCAGTTCATCTAGAGGGGGTAAAAAACAGAAAGTGATCCCTTGGGCCATCTTTACAATCACACACAGAGGCAGTAGCATAGGATGCTCTCTATTGAACAATGATAGAAGGACACCAGCAGCTTTTGAGGGATGTTGTTTTCCCTGAGGATTCTCAGGAAATAAAGTCTCTCCTGAGCATCTTTCCCAGCTCCCCTGTGTTCACACCCCAGAACAGGTCATCCTAGATGTGAACTCCCATGAAGCGGAAGTCTGGCACCATCTCCACCCCATCCCCATTGACGTAAAGTGGTTTAATGTCCATAAAATCCACAACAGTCTTCTTCGTCTTGGTTGTGTTCAGGAGCAGGTTGTTGTCCCTGCACCACGCTGTCAGTCGCTCCACTTTGTCCCTGTAGGCAGACTCATCCCCCCCATATGTTATAAAAAGCTTGTGCCATGTGTTGCAGTTTGCTTCTTTTTCAAATGCTTACGTTTGAGGATTGCATATAGGCTCATACAAAAAACATGAAAGCGGCACAAGAAAATTTAACATATAAATCAAGTAACACGCAACATTGAACAGAGAAAGATGCATTTCAGCATAACAGCTACATTAGTTGATGCAAGTTAGTAATGAAATGAAAACAGAAGCATCTGAGTGCAGTCCGCCGTGCCATTTTAGGTTTATTCTAAAGAGATTTGGATTGCAGTTAAAAGGTGTCATGTCTCCTTTCAGTCTTTACAGTGAGTTACTCAAGATCATATTGCAGCTGCCATCATGCATATCCGTAGCTGCTTCTTATCAGATTGTGAGAGTTCCCCATCTGCCATCCAAGTTAGCTGCTACTTTTGGCTCAGTTTTTAAAAAAGGCGCTTTTTTTCTGTTTGAGTCTTAATTATCCTGTTAAATGGACAATTTCCATTTAATGCTACTTTAGGGAGCATAATATGTTGTTCAGTGCATGCATTAATATAAGTATGTAATGCACAAAGTTCTGAATGCTTTACAGACTGGTACTATTAATGGTGGGTTTTTTATGCTCAGTGTGGCTAACTTTAGCTTTCCCCACATTTTATTTTCTTCAGAAAATGAGGCTCAGTCTTCCTCTGACAATGCTTCTCACAGTAGGTCTATAAGCAGTCTGACACAGGAAGTGTGAGACAGTGTGTCTTATCTGCTAATGATTCTAATATTTACCTGCTCATGTGGTAGATGTTTAAACTGGGAGCCTGAACACTATTCATATGGACTCTGTATGCAAGCGCTTTACTGCTGCTGAATGTATTCGCCATCACAAATATGCATTTACTATTTTCCCTCGCTATAGGTAGCATTTATAATACAATAATGTCATCTTATCTTTGTGGGCAGACAAACAACAACTCTAAAATGGAATTATGTAAATGTTATCTTTGTTAACATGCTGGTACTGTTAAGTTTCCATTTTATTTATTGACAGCATTTCGTGCGCACCACGCTCGTCGTGGTCATGTTAGGTGTGACCACAGGAGTCATCACAGTTCTTATCTGCTTCCACTTTCCTGCCGAATGTTTGAAAAAAAAAAACTGGCATGGAGATCAAAGATGAATGTTATGTGCATATGTTTTAATTCAGTTATCCCATGCCTCTCTTTGCTTCTTAACAAAAGGTGTGTAGCTTTGTTAGTTTTCTGCAGAAGTATTCAGGAACGTTGCAGTTGAGCCAGGGTAGAGACCGATTAACCCTGCACAAAATCAACTACCAGTAGTTCTTTGTTTGAGAAAGCACCTGAAAGTTAGTTTTGTCACGTAAAAGCTGTATTGCAGCGCCCCTGAACTCTGTGGTGTGCTTGCTGTTGTCATGTTCTAATTGACTAGATTTATGTGGTGCCTGGGAACAACCTTTAAGAGAAAAAGAAACTCATAAGTCAGCCATGTTTTGCAATAATGAGCATGCAAAACGGCATTGCATCTGCTTAATATGTTGTGGTTACATATTTCATTTATTGTTCCTACATGTTAGTGACTTCATGACCGCAAGATGAGTATATATACAGAGCCAGTACAACAGACCAGTCTTTCTCCCTGGACCATTCGGCCCAGTATGCACTGCACTTCGCTTTAAGCCTCTTTCTAACCTTAGTAAGGTAAAAACCATGCTACAGCCATGTTGTTCTTGTGGGGAAACTTGACACAGCACTCAGTGTGATACCTCACCTAGTTTGTAATTTTTACACTTCTCAGAAAAAACACTAAAAATAGTTTGTGAGTTCACACTAACCTGCATGTGATCAGGCTGAGTTAAACAAAGGAGACGGGGACCTTTTTTATTTCTAAAGAATTGTTAACACAGTTGATATAATGAGCAAAAACACAAGAAAAAGACTGAAAGCATTAATTAGTAAACCTGCCCTAGTTGCATGGAATTGCAATATTTACTTTTGCAGATGCTCCTCCATAGATTATGAGCTCTGTAAATATCTGAGTATTGCATGTATACTTGGTGCAGTATTTGCAAATGTATCACACTTTATACAGCTGACCTGCAGGACAGCTAAAAACATTAAAGAGGAAGTGCTAGACAGCAGGAGACTGAACAGTTGCTGTCAGAGGAAGTGATGTTGTTCAATGTTAAAATGTTTAAAGATTGTTGCTTAGCTCTAGCAGGGTGGTAAGGAACCACTCGTGCACATAATGGGGTCTTTTCTCTCTGACCCCATCTCAGCACTCTCTGTTTCCTCCTTGTCTTTTGCCCTTTGGTCTGTTGTTCCATTTTTCTTCCAGCTGCCTCCTCTCATTTGTCATCTCTCCCCATCTCCTCTACATCTTTTTCATGATTCTTCATCTTCCTTAAATCTATTTTATCCTCTTCACTTTCACTCACACTTTTAACCCCCCTCTCCCCCCGTGTGCTCATCCAGCCATCCTTCCCTCAATCCCATCACTCATTTTCAGTGTAGCTGACTGACAGGCAGGTTTATACACCCTCAAGGTGGACACATAACCTCCTTGTGGATGGGTGAGAGGTCTAAGAGGGCTCTCCAGGGTGTGTGAGAGTGAGTGTGTACCGGCAGTGTGACAGTGCTCAGTGACGTGAACTGAGGCTTAGGTACCAGCAGTTCTGCCCCGGGTTTGATAATGCAGCCATACTGTGTGTGTGTGAAGTACAGTACAGTAAGACATTTTTTTTGTTGTGCTAGCTTTGCCGCATGAGATTTGAAACTATATTGTGACTAGAAAATGACATGCAGCCCTCATCGTAGATACTGACAACTTCATACTTGGTTTAAGACACAAGTGATGTAAACACATTGGGCTAAAGTTGAGTCTAAGACTTTGAGTGCAAAAAACTCCAGTGTCCTCACATACATGTAGTATGGATATGGGGACACTATATAATAAATGTGCTGCCTGTATGGTGGCCCTGAGAGGTCAAACACACTGCAACTTAAAAAAACAACAACCCACCAGCAAATAGAAATATTTTACTGAGTGCATCTTTTTGTGAACCAGATAAGATGGCATGTAGTCCTACACAGTACTGTGATAGATTAAATTCTGGATAAATTGCAATCACTAGCAGTGAAGCTCCCCCAACACCATCACCCACCAATCCATGCTTGATGGTATCTACACATGGAAAGATCACAGACTGAATCATTAATCATACATTTTGGATCAAAGTCCAAATTTTCAAGTCAGTGCAAGACATGTGACTACTCGGTCATCCACAGTGGTGTTTTTCTTTGCAGCAATTTAAACACCAAGACCTGAATTTACTGACAGTTAATGTGAGAGTCCGATTGGCAAGAACATGACCAAACTAGAGTAATGGTGTCAGTGTTGAATCTAATAGTGTGGGGAAGAGGAAGTGATGCAAAGCATAAACTAGCAGCCTGAACATCCAGGAAAACAGGAAGATTAGTGGTTACAGATCTTCCTCATTGAGCTTTAACATAAGCTTTACTTGGCCAATTTGGAAATTTGACACCTGGACCATTGTATTTAAAGAGAAGGTAAAATAATAATTGTGCCACTTGGAGGAATTTTACAGACAGTTTCCAAAAACAAAGTCAGATTTTGGTTATTTTTGAAACACATTAGAGTTGGCTGGTTTTGCAGGTATTGTCAAATACATTACCAAATGTATCTGGAAATCCGCTTGTTCTTAAAAGTTTGAAACATTTATTAAAATATTTAAACAAAATTCTTTGTCTGCTGCTAAATATTTTGGTTCTCACATGTAGAATATTTATTAGGTCAAGATTTAGATCCTCTTTTTTGTCTTAGACTGCTTAGAAGCAAAGCTATATTGTAATGGTTGAGCTGTTGCATTTAACTCAGTATCACGGTGTCATGATTACCTCGAAGGTTTCCATTACCACTAATCCCGAGGCTTTGCATAATCACAAACCTGCACAAGTCCTACTTAAGTCATCTTTGAATGCTGAACAGTTTCCAGGAAATCCACCGCTGTAGAGAAGCTCATTGGATCGAAGCAGTCAGACTTCATCCCTTTACATTTCTTCTTTGACTTTGTGATTTTTTTAAGCTTTTTACAGCAGCTGTTGTTGGGGACCAGTATCCCAGCCATCATTGTACTTTATGCACTACATTGAACTGGTACTCAGGAAAAAGCTTTGGCTGAGACCATCAATAGACTTGATATTGAACTAAAGAGGCAAAGATCCATGAAACGCTCTTTTGCTAACCCCCACTAGCATCAATACACAAACCACCACCCTCTCTCTTTTTGCCTGATTTTTTTTTCTTTACTATGCTCTCTCTTTTTATCCTCTTAGCACTGAAAACTTCAGCTGCCTTCCATGAACAGAGAAGGAGCTTGGAACGGGCTCGGGTGAGTATGCCATCCTCAAATCAGTCACTGATGTCAAAACTGATGCAATTTAAGCTTTGAGAGTTTTTAAAACACGTGGCATCATTACAGAAGTATTCTGATTTGTCTTTTCCTGCTTTAATGTAAGCCAAAAAAAAGAGTTGGGATAAGACCATTGGCTCAGACAAATAGACTTGTATAGAGTAATGCGAAACTATCCACCAAATCAGTGCTTGCCCCAAGGGCAACATCATCAGCAGTTGTGAGTGAGTACGTGGGAAGATGGATGAGTAGGTTAAAGTAATTCTCCATTAGTAACTAGCTAAAATGATTAGATAAACACAGGCCCTTTAGTTAGCTTAGGAAGCACGGTCTACATTGTTAAGAGAAGGGTTTGTGGAACTACACCTAAAGAAGGAGAGGAACCACAATGTTTAACAGTGCACAATAAAGGATTTGTGAGTGCAAAACTGAGAGATTTTCCATTCCTTCTTCTTCATCTTGTCTCTTGGTCTCTCTCCAGACAGAAGACTATCTCAAGAGAAAGATCAGGAGTCGACCAGAGAAATCTGAACTGATCAGGATGCACATCTTGGAGGGTAAACACTACACAGAGCCTCATACCTCTGGAACTTTGGTCAATCTAATGGAAAAAGACCCATTACATCCATGCACACTCGTAAAGAATTTCCATGCCTGGTTTGTGTGTCTATGCAGAGCCGTTCCTTCCGGTCAAGCAGCTGAAGAAAGCATGCCTCGCTGTTGATTTGAATGATAAGATTGCCCAGAGGCCAGGGCCCATGGAGTTGATCCATAAAAACATTCTACCCGTTCACTCCAGTATTAAACAAGCCTTCATAGGTAAGTGAGAACTATTTTTAGGCAACAGTTTCAGTATGAATAAACAGGACTCAACTTGCCCTTTACATCATGTTTTTGCAATTTCACCAAATTGTTTATTGGGTTGCTGCCATCTTCAGCTGGATCACCGTAAACCCCTCTCAGGATTACTTCTGCTGAGTGGAGGAAATTATTAGCTTAAATGTTATAAGTGCAGAGTTATTTATGGTTGATTGCAATAAGCTGACCACAGAGAAAAAACCCACAAACAAAGCGTTGAGACCAGATATAATGATCTTAAGCAGATAGATGCAGTTATTGCGGACAACTTGTGTAAGCCTTTCAAGAGCTTATCTGTAAGTCTCTATTTTCCAGCCATCAATACACAAACCAATACCAATGTTTCTTCACACAGTCTCGATATGTAGGGCTGTTGCACAATAACACATTAGTCATGCCAACTTTAGAAGGCCTTACTTTGCAAATTTTGTTTTATTATTTCTGCCCCCTCAACAATCAACAGGTGTACCATTGCTATATAATTTCCTGCGCACAGTCTGTGTGGAGGAAGGACGTGTGATATAGATTTTCATCAAAACACACCCACACTGTGAGGCTCCTGACAGGACATCCCTCCTGGCCCCTTCCTCCACCTATCATAAACGTACTGTTTCCTCCCAGATCCCAGATGCTTCAGTTGTCCTCACCACATACTCACACAGGCATCCATACCTGTCAACAAGAACCACCTAACATACAAATTTTTCACAAACAGCGCACTGACAGGCAAACACTTCAATTGATCAATTCTATGAGTTTGGAAAGGTTGGAGGGGGGTAATTGTAAATGATGCATGACCTCTGATTCCCATTTTAACAGACAAGAGACGAAGATACTGCTTCCTTCTCTGTTCTCGGTTGGTTTTAAACAATCACAGTGCCTGTTAATAGAGAATCACTTGCTAATTGAAGAGGTGACATTTTAAAATAATGGGGACCTATTAAGCTTAATTCAATTGCATATTAATATTTTCAGAATAGATCACTAAAAAAATAATCCTTAGTTGTTTCACACTTGCCCTTAATGGAGCTTCCTCCGTTCATCTATAGTCTGAAATGAGCGCTTTTAGCTCTTTTCCAGTAATTTTTTGAGGTAATTTAATAGAAAAAAAGAATGCTGTATTCATAAATATACATTGATTAGTGCGCAACTACATCTTCCAACAAATAGATGCATTGTCATAAACTTAGAATCAACCCATTAAAAATACACAGCAACGAACGCAAATTTTGATTTGTGTCTTTAGCTATGTTAGCTATATTTTATCATCTGAAAAGGGGTCCACTTTACCAAAGAAGCAAAAATGCGAGTCAGAGCTGTAACACATGAAAAAGTCCATAAACATGCTTTTTTATTCTAATATTGTTGCAATTACTTATTGTCAGCAGATCAGATATACCACCCTTCCATCTCTGGACAGCTGACAATGAGGCAACTAAACAACACAGTTAGCTGGTTATATGCTAATGTTGTGTCAACTAATGTGAGACTCGAGTGTCTTAACAGTCACATTTCCCCTCTGACAATCAGTTTGATAACTTTCTCAAATCATATGAGAGTTTTTGAGACCAACAATGTTAGATCCACTTCAACAAAAGTTTCACTTGTGCAGGCAAAAATAGCAGTGCTTACTGACATAAAAGGATATCCTCAGCAAAAGAAGTGACTTTCACTTACTCATTGACTCGTGTTCAACTCCTTTCACAAAGTTTTACAGTCTCCTCCAGAGTAAATAGACTTGAACACTTCTCATCTGGCATTCTGCAGCTATCAAAGACTCCAGTTTTTTTGCTATGGTTGTTATGGGGCCCGGTGTAAATGCAATGTTTTGATCTCTCTTGGCTATCTTGAACATGTTTGTCCAACAATGGCCACGGTAGCTAGGATTATGAACTTAAATTAGGAGAATTAAGAAAACAGAGTTCAGTTGACTGCAGTCTACTGACATATAGCAGTGAAATTTTACCCACCAAGGTCATTTGCCCATTGTAGTCAAGAGATTTGCGCAGCAGGTGGATTTGAATTCTGTGTTTGAGTTGGCCATATCAAGTACATCTGCTCCAGCCCGTTCTCACTCCCGACGCGTGATATACCGATGATTTTTCACGTCCCGAGGCGTTCTATGGTGACCTTCCGCCTTCCTATGCTACACGGCGGATTATGGATGAAATTGAATAGAGGGAAGCACCCGTGGTAACACGTGTTCCAGCCCTCCGTGTTTTCAAAGCGATTTAAGTAAAATAAACGTACATGTGTAGATTTATTCCAAACGGTTCTCATGTTTCCTCATTTTTCAGAACTCGTAATATAGGGACCTTTTGGGTGGCCAAAAGCGTAATATGATTTGTCACCTAGCCTTAATTGTTACACTTTGGGAGTGAGAATGTGTTGTCTGCTCTCACTGGCATCATACAGCTCCAAGAATAAAAGAAACTTCCTGAAATAAGGATGAGGATCGTCTAAGTGGGATTTTTATATAGAACACTTTTTTTTTCTTTGTACTGTGGGAGCAAGGAATCGGTGGGTCCAGCTGCTTGATTGATGTGTAGAGGAAGAAGGTTGAGATTTAATAACAGACTGTGTCAGTGGAATATCCATCTCTGTCACTGCTACACAATAAACACAATTACATTACCGCCACTTTTGGTAGGAGCACCAGGAACTAGCTAGATGAGGTTGACATATGAGCATACAAAGCATGATGCACTCCCACACCCACACACAGCACAGCTGTAAGCGAGTCATTGCATTATTAAATCAGCCCCGTGTTGTCTTTTCATCATTACCTGCTGATGGTAAATTAATGGACAGCAGTGTGTTCTAAATAGCAGTGGGCTACTGCCCGTTAGCACCTCCTGTAATTTAATAACTCAGTTCTATTATTAAAAAAAAATGGCTCTACAGCAGTCCTGGGGATCCTAGCGGGTACTTTTATTCCTTAAATCCCTGTGAAGACTCATAAGTCTGCATAATAATGAAATGATTATATGATATGGCGCATGGGAAAGCTGGCAGGCTTGGATTAAAGCTATGCTGTAAGATGTCTTAACCTTCCTGTGGCTGGCTAATAAGGAAACTTTGGGCATGTGGTTGACAATTTTCTTTGCAGTTTTTTACATTGCTGTATCTGATTTACTATTATATCACGCTCAGCTGCATTTATCTGTTGCATACGAAACATATTTTAAAGATATTTTAAAGAGAATATTATTAGTATAGCAGGCATAAACAGGGGAAGCCGTCACATAAACAGTTCAAATATTCATCGCATAAATTACACAGACGATCCTTCAGAATCCTCAGCACAACGTCATCCTTAGAGAGACGCCATCTGTTACATAAAAACTGTTATAAAAGCCTCATTTGGCTGTGTGGGAAATGAACATAGATGAATGAAAAGCAAAATGCTTGACAAAAACCTGACTCATCACAGGTGCATCTAGGACTGGCTCTGGTGGACATGATAAGACTACAGAAAAGTGTTTAAGTAGTTTAGACAGCTCTCTCGCTCTCTGTGTCAGTTGTTGACGAGACACTGGGGACGAGTGTCTTGTGTGCATTTTTGTAGGATATTGAACATTAACTAATGCAAGCCTTTGATGAGTCACCGATACTTGTGGAGGAGGCACCGGTGATAATTTGTCTGGATTGGAGGTGCCCACAAGGTGTTAGAGTCACAAGCAGAAGTCCAGTGGCTCAGCTCCTGTTAATGCAAGTGATAGTGTTACACAGGCACACAGACTTGGGCAAGGACCTAGAATCACTGGGTAGTACATTTATTTTATGGTCTAATTTAACTAGATAATGTTTATTTCCTTCCCTCGTCTCCCCCACAATGCTTCTCCTCTCAGAGACGCAGTTTCAAAGAGCCTCGGGAGAGAACTCTTCATTTGATGAGGACACTAATGACAGTCTGTCTCCAGAGCAGTCCACATCTGTCAGTGAGGAGGGTTGTTCGTTGGGCCTGGGACCTCTGCCCACTCCAAAGGAAACACTGACAGGCCATGGCATCCCGTCTCCTACACAGGTAGGATCACCGCAGAGAGTGGGACTAAGATGCTGTGCAGAATGTATGCAAGACTGTAAATCCACAGCTTAAAAGCAATGTCTGTGTATATGTGACGTGCATCAGATTTACCACTGGTGGTGGTGTAGCACAGTGTGGGAGAGTTTATAGTGGGTGCAGTTGTCACAGAGGGGATAACCAGGCTTTGGTGAGGGGAAAATAACAACATTTTGAGCACCCACTCACTTACACACTAGCAAGTTTAGCATTTCACTACATCAACCATCTGATGCACGGAAAAGTACTGTTTTGTATCATTTAATTACTGAATAAAAAGCAGTGAAAACTACCTGGAGATTTATTTACTGAATAAATTAAAATCCAGTTCTTCCCTCATTGAAGTGCATCAACAACAGTACTTCCAAATCAAGCTAAGAGGCTACAGTCGTGTTACATACTGCAGATTTTTGGTTTTGATCCCATACCAAGTAAATACATGACCAATGTTGCTAATGCCAGTACCGATACAGATACTTCCAACTTACAAAGGCAGCTTACGTAGGGGAGAGCGGTGTGTAATGACTCACTGGATTGTAAATGTTCCTGCCTCTAAAGCACTTTGGATCTTCTGCTGTTTAAATGAGCTATAAATAATATACTTGTGACAGTCAACATATAGTTGTAGTGCATGTTTGAGGTTTATTTTTTCAGCTTCCAAAAAATAATGATTTAGCAAACACAGTTTAGTGGGTTAGAGCTTAGAGGACAGAAACAAAATATCCATCCAATACCAGTGTCGGTATCGAGAGTATTTATATTTGGATCGATCCACCAGCCTCTAAGTAACAGCAGTGGATGCAGCGACTCCAGACATCTATGAGATGAGTTTGATTGTCGTATGGACATTTGCCATGCATCTGGAGGGGGGACAAATTGAGCATTTGTGAACATTGTGTGTTTTGTATGTAAACCTTTTCTGCTATGTAATTTTACATTTACCACAATCTTCGATGTTCACTACTTTAAAAAAATGAAGACCTTTTCAAATGGGATGATTCTTTCTGATGCCTTGCAGTTTAGCCATGAATGATCAGCCAGTGTTTCCATCCAACCAATCAGGTCCCACCTACAGCTCCTTCTGGGTCACCCATTTCACTCAAGCTGACTAATGAGACAGGGGCGTCATCTCTCCTGAGGACAGGTGCCAACAAGGTAACATCTGTCAGTTCAGCTCTGTTAGTTGTTAGACACGCATACATTAGACTGGACCGCTTCAGTCCTGTCACAATGACGACTAAATTATGAGCTTTCGTAAATGATTATTTTAGCTGTTAGTGCTAATTGCTAAAATTATTATTGACAGCTGTTCAGAACTGCAGATGATGAAGTGAACTCTGGTGGTAACAGGAAATCTCGCATGTGTTGTGGGTTTCTCATTTTGCTTCCATGAGGGAAGCAAAAAATGTGGTTTAAAGTTTCATTTTACTCTCATTAAAATTACTCATCTTTTTTTTTTTTTTTTTAGCCACAACCCAAACCAAACTGTGACCGCTCTGGCCTGAGACACAAGAAAACCAAGGACAAACCAAAGGTAGAAACTTCTCCTTCTCTGAGGAAACTATTCTAATGCTGGCATTCCAAATACCCAGTGTAGCTACAGCTAAGAGAAGGCAAATATTTGTCTGAAATGCTCTACTGCAGTGCTGAAATAATGACTTGCTGTTAATGGGGGTGCTTTCCAGATAAAAAAGTTAAAGTACCATCAGTACATCCCTCCTGATCAGAAGGGAGATAAAGAGCCTCCTCCTCATCTGGATTCATCCTATGCCAAGATCCTTCAGCAGCAGCAGCTCTTCTTGCAGCTCCAGATCCTCAGTCAGCAGCAGCAGCGCTACCACACCATCCTCCCTGCACCAACTAAGTAAGTCCAGATGCATGCTCTTCTGTGGAGTCTGAAGGATTGCACGTTCAAAGGCTGGAAGGAACATTGGACATAAACTTCTGTTTTCAGAACTCAAGAGCACCTGTTAAGATTTACTTTTGTGTCACTGTATTTTTGCCCAGCAGATCCCAGACAGCTCAGCAGCCATCTTCCTCCTCTAAGTCTATGCACACCTCCTCCTCCCCACCTCGACCTGCTGGTGCACCTTTAAACTTCTCTAAACATTTCGTCCACACCTGTCTAAGTTCTGTCCCGCTAGGTGGAACCAAACCAGTGTCTCTGCCTCCAAACCTCGATGAAATGAAGGTAAATTGCACAGCGACATGCACATCCCAGAGAAACCTTTCCTACCTTATGTGTCGTTTTTATAATATGAGTAACATGCATGACTGCATACTAAGCATCCAGTAAAGAATTAAGAGTCTAAATAAATATCTGTCTGTGCTATGACCTGTCAGAACCAAGCTAGGTTTATAGCAGGAACGGACGATTTATCAATAAAGGATGGAGTTAAGCGATGTATTAAAAGTGTGTAGTAATGGTAAGGCTAAGTGGGTGGCTGTGGCCAGGTGGGAGCCACAGCAGCAATATGTTCAGGGAATCCAGAGATTTCTCTTGAAAAATATAGTGGCAGGGGGGCTGGAGGAGAGGCTGGAGCTGGAGGAGAGGCAGGGTGAAACAAGCAGGTTTGCAGATTAATTCAAAAGGCTGGAATGAGACTAACCGGCTGTAGTAGCTGATTCTACAATCTGGAGTTGTAGTGGAGTTGAAGTTGAAGGTGACTGGTCCATTCAAATGGTACAACTGAAACCACTCCTGAACTGAGACTGAGGTAAAGAGAAGAGGGAGGCTGGAGCAGCTGGCCTGACATTCGTACCCTTTAGATGGAGTAAATGGGAGATGTGATGTGATGCATGGAAAAAAAATCCTCAAGGTTTCTTTCATTCGATGGAGCCAACCAGCTCAGCGAAGTTAAACAATGAGACAGTGATGGATTACTTCTTCTTCTTGTTCCCGTTTTGATTTCCCTTTCAAATGTATCCTAATCTCTTTGCTTTCCCCGTCTCTTTCTTCTATCTCAATTCTGTTTTTAATGCTGTCTTTACATCAGGTTGCGGAACTGAAGTCCGAATTAAAGCTGCGTAACTTGCCCGTCTCCGGCACCAAAAACGACCTCATTGAGAGGCTGAGGACATATCAGGAATTAAGCCGAGGCAGTGACACTACCTCCTCTCCAACAGCAGGGTGTACCACAGGGCCAGGGGCTGAAGGAGCAGGAAAATCATCCAAGAGCGCTGCATTCATCATCACCAGTAACGATACACGCATAGAGGTGATCCTAGAAAGAGTATATAAACTTTCTGTTAACTGTCTAATACCAGTCTTTCTGGACATTTTTGTGTTGCTGAAGTGGGCAGCAGTGGGAGCCTAAATGCAGCAAAACCTCAACAGTTCATGACCTGCAATGGGAGCCTTGCCTCTTCAGCTGTCTCCTTCATTCCCTCACCGACTGCCATGAGTCCAGAAGACACCAGTTTTAACAGTGACCTCTTAGGGGAGCTGGTAATACCTTTTTGTTGCTATAATAAACCTTAGAGGACTTCAGAAATTTACTGAAGAAAGCCGTGCATTACACATATTTAAGTGTCACAGTGATAAATTCACTTCCTCTCAGAACTTCCTTGTTTGACAAGTTCAAGATCAAAACTAAAATACAAGTGTTGATAATGAGACACTTATATTGCTAATGAAGTTGACAAGCGGAAGATGATAGATTTTATTATATTAACAAAAACAATAATTATAAACATAGCAAAAATAAACATTATGGCTATGGTAAAAAAAGTGAAACATTCCTCAGAGATTTTGGTCCACATTGACATGACAGCGTCACACAGTTTTTCTGGATGCACATCCATGATGTGAATCTCATCTCATCCACCATAAAAAAATGAATGAACATGAAGTACATTTGTATGACAAATTAAAGGAAAACCCAATTTACATGTCTTTGTGAGGTCTTAAACCAGCAGTCCCCAAAATTTTTTGCGCCACGGATCAGTTTATATTTGACAATATTTTCACAGACCGGCCTTTAAGGTGTCGCAGATAAATACAACAAAATAAAACCAGTACCGGTACCAAAAAAAAGATTTATTCATAACACACAGGAAAACACCCAGGGAAACAGAGTTAATGATAAAAACGCTAAAAAAATAATGATAAAAACCCTGAAAACTATAAATTTCACACCCAAGCCTCAACTCTTGCAGCCTGGTACCAAACGACTCACGGAACGGTTCCGGTCTGTGGCCCGGGGGTTGGGGACCGCTATGTTAAACCATGACATGTCACCAAAATTAGTTCAATTCTGTAAAAATTCTACAGCACATGATTCCTCTTATTTCTGTACTCATCAACTGTTCAGCTGCCCCTCTGACACTATCAGCCTGGAAGAGCCCCCATGCATTAGCCAGAAATGTTTAATGACAGAATAAAGGTGATCGCTCAGATCCCACACTGTAACAGAGGCACTGGACCATAAGTATTCAAGTTTTTCCTTTAATTTGTCAGCTCCTTGTATATTGTAAGGTGAACCATTATATAATTAAAACTGCAGACACACAGTTTGCTTTACACTTATAGATGACCTATTTCTTCTCTCAATAGATGAGTTCACCTCTCAACCAATTGAGCCTCCAGCCATCTTCAGTTGCTCAACTCTCCACAAACATTAAAGAGGAGCCTCGATGCTCGACTCCCGCTCCTTGTCAATACTCTTTAAAGTCTGCCTCTCTTCAAAGACGCTCCTCAGTATCTTCAGGTGTCCCAGCCACTACGAGCACAGTTCCTGTACCGAGTGTTGATAAAGACAGATTGCTGCAGGAGAAAGATAAGCAGATAGAGGTGCTGACCAGGATGTTGTGGCAGAAACAGAGATTGGTGGAGGTGCTAAAAATGCAGCTGGAAAATGGAGACAGAGGAAAGGCTCCAGAGCCAATCAGTCCTCTCGGGGTAAAAGAAGAACCTCTCGATGAGCCCGATGTTGCCTTCTCAATGGACTTTGATCAATTTCCATCGCAAAAATCACCTATTTCACAAGAGATGGATATTACCAAGGTAATTGTGAAACAGGAAGTAATTGAGGAAGAAGAAGTTAAACCTGAGAAAAATTTCCAGTTCCCAATCACTCATGGATTGCCGCAGTCCTCAACCCAAACACAGGAGGAGCAGCTGGCTCAACAACATACCATACAGAAAGTCCTGCTACAGCAGCAGCAGCACATCATCCAGAATCAGACGCTGGAGAATCAGCACGACCTGCAGAAACTTTGTCAGCAGAGAAAGAAAAAATCTCAAAACCAGCAAAAGCAGCTCCTGCTGCAGTCACAACAGCAGCATCAGCAGTCAAAACACGTGCAACAGATGCAGCTGAAGCAACAGCTTCTGCTGAAGCAACAAAAGTCGCACATGTTGCCACAGCAAATGAAGACTAAACAACAGACTAAACAGCTACAGCAAATCCAGATTCAGACCAAAATACAGCTGAAGCAGCAACAGGTGCCCAAACAGCAGGTGAAGCAGCAGCAGCAGCCATCTAAGGTTAGGACTGTCTTTTATCTATAGTGTGTGGGGTTGGAGTTTTATTTAACTGCATTGCTTGTAAAGTTCTGCTCTTAAGAAGGATCCTGAACAATCAGCTCTGGTAAGAATTTAGAATAAAAAGAATAATTATAACAATCATATCTAGCAAGCACTGAGTATGATGAATCAAAACGGAAGTTAATTTGTTGCCATGCTGGTATGCAGTGAAGTGTATACTAGACTGTGTAGGTTCTTCCCATAAAAGTTCTCTTTTCTGTTGAACAGGTGCCTCAAGCATACCTGAAACAGCAGTCAGGCTCAAGTGCCTCTTTCTCAATGGACCACCTTAAGATTGACTCCACCCCAACCCTGGTCACTGACACCAACGGTAACCATTTTCTGATCGCGCTGACCAATCACCTTACTGGAAACAAAATAAAGGACCCTGCTGAGGGAAAAGCAACCAATCACATTACACTGCAGGTACGTAAACTCAGTGTGCATGCAATCTTGTTGCTTTTTGAGCTGAATTACAATTATAGTTAAATGTAAAGAATATCAAACTGCAATTCTCAACATAAGGTTTAAGAAGATTCATTTTAAGTTTTACAATGATAGCATTAGTGTTAAAATGTTGAAAGACTGACTCACAAAAGCTTTGTCAGTCATATTTACATAGATTAATTTATTATATAAATATATAGTGAGATATAGACTATACAGCATTAATGTTGGCCACACAGGCACTGATCTCTGCATTTCCTGCAAAAAAGTATCAAGCTCAACTCAGCAACTCAGGGCAAAGCTGTATTCAGATCCTACAGGTGGATGTTGCTTAAGGCTGGCCTTTTTGTAGAAGCATCAGGAAGCCGAGTAGCTTTTAGGTTGGTGGTGTACACAGGCAGACCAAAAACGGATAAGCAGATCATTGTTAATTGAGCTGGACTGCATGAAATTTGTTTCATTGCTCTGCTGTCGGTTTACTTCTTACATTGATAACTACCTCATTTGTTCCTATAGCGACTCCAGTCTACTCCAGCCAAACGTCCAGGCCACAACCCTGTTAAGCTGACCAGAGCTGATAGTAAAGCTCAGCAAAGCATGCAAGTGAAGTTTGTGAAAAAGCACACTAAGGTGAGGATTAAAACAAGACATTTCTGATATGACTTTGTTTCCCAAACTTAGGTAGTGTATACAATGGGAGAAATGATTCTTTGATTCCCTGCTGAATTCATAAGTTTGCTCGTGTACAAAGAAATGGAAAGCGTCAAAATTTTATGGTAGTTTAATTTTAACAGAGAGACAGAATATCAACCAAAACTAGAAAAAACACATTACATAAAATTTTGAACTGAATTGCATCTCATTGAGTAAAATAATTATTTGATCCCCTACAAATCAGCCAGAATTCTGGCTTCCACAGATGTGCTATGTGCCCACGTGGAACAAAGATCGATCAATCGGTCAATCGATCGGTCAATCAATCAAAGATCTCAACTCGTTGTGTGCATAAAACACACCTGTCCACAGCATCACTTTCTTCCATTCTAACCTTTTACAGTTTTATTTATATAGAGCCAAATCACAACAACAGTTTCCACTTTATATTCCAAGCTAAAGGCCCTAAAATACTACAGAAAAAAAACAGAGGAAACTATGAACAATAATGAGAAGACAAAACTCCCTTTTAACAGGACAAAACCTCCAGCAGAACCAGGTTCAGGGAGGGGCAGGCATCTGCCACAATTGGTTGGGGTGAAGGGATGAAGACAGGACAAAGACACACTGTGGAAGAGAGCCAGAAATTAATAGTAACTAATAATTACATGCAGAGAGGTGTATAAACACATAGTGAGTCAAAAAGGTGACAGAAGAAGAAGCACTCAGGTCATGATGGGAACCCCCCAGCAACCTTAACCTACTGGAGCATGACTAAGGGAGAATTCAGGGTCACCCGATCCAGCCCTAACTATATGTTTTATCAAAACAGAAAGTGTTAGGCCTAATCTTTAAAAGTAGAGAGGCTATCTGTCTCTCTCCACCTCTCCACCACCATAGGCCAAGAGTTGTCAAACAATGTCAATCTGTACAAGGCTGGAATCGATTACAAGACTTGATGAGAAGGTAAGGATCTGTTGAGGCGCCATGGAGGAAATCTAAAACGACCATCAATCCCTCTTGGTCTGCCACTCCATGGAAGATGGATCACCGATCACCACCTGCACTCATGTATATATCTTTCTACGTAGCACTCATAAGTCTTATTCTCATGTATATATCTCATGTATATCTCATGCACATATCTTTCTTTCTACATAGCACTTTAATTCTTATTGTTTGCACTGAAGCACCGCAGCAATTTCCTAATGTTGTAAACCTCAACATCTGGCAATAAACCCCCATTCTGATTCTGATTCTGATTCTGAAGATCTTACCTCATGGGGTGAGAATAATCATGAGAAAGGTGGTGGATCTGCCCAAATCTACACAGTCCTCCTGTGTAGATTTGGGCAGATCTACTGCTTGTTAATGGTCTAAAGGCAGTTGGGACTACAGTCACCAAGAACACTATTGGTAACATGCTACACTGTAATAGATTGAAATCTTGCAGCACCCAAAAGGATCCCCTGCTCAAGAAGCCACATGTACAGGCCCATCTTAAATTTGAAGGCTTGGGAGGAAGTGCTGTGGTCAAAAGAAACCAAAATCAAACTATTTGGCATCAATTTAACTCACCATATTTGGAGTAAGAGAAATGCTGATTATGAACACCAATGCTACAGTCAAGCATGGAGGTGGAAACATTCTGCACTGGAGCTGTTTTTCTGCTGAGGGTACATGATGACTTCAATGAGGGGCCAATGGACAGGGCCATGTACAGTAAAATCTTGGATGACAATCTCCTTCCGTCAGCCAGAACACTGAAGGTGGATCATGAATGGGTCTTCAAGCATGACAGTGACACAAAACACCGCCAAGGCAACAAAAGAGTGACCAAAGACGCACATTAAGGTCATGGAGTACCCTAGGCAGTCTTCCGACTTCAGTCTTATAGAAAATCTGTGGAGAGAGCTGAAGCTCTGAGTTGCTAAGAGCCATCGAAGAAACCAAAAGGATTTTAAGATTTCTTTAAAGATGGGGGGTCACCTGTGATGTGTGCAAACCTGGTGACCTTCTACAAGAAATGCCTTACTACTGAGCTAACCAAAAACAGTTTCTCTACTTTGGGATCAAGTACTTATTTCGGTCATTAACATAAAAATCAATGTACATTTCTGGATTTTTGGTTTATATTCTGTCTCTCTCCATTAACACAAAACTACCATAACAATTAGAGAATCTTCAACAGGGGGTCAACTATTTTTTTACCCCACTGTAACTGTATTGAAAAACTTAAAGTGTTACATTTCACTACAGTAGATCAGTATGGTCAATATGCCACTATGAGTGGGTTTTAGCTCAGAGCATATTTCTTTCGTAGCAAAATTTTGTAATAAAAATTGCTGACTCTGAGGTATATAGATTATCTGTCATATCAAGGATCTCAAAAGGCACATCATCTTCAAGGCTTTAATTAAGCAATTGTATTTTTAAATATCATTTATCTCTATTAGACTACAGTGAGAGGAGAAAAACCAAAATCCTTGGGATCTTTTTATTTGCTATCCATGAAGTTTCCGTATAAAAGATCTCAAGTAATTTTCTTAAATATTTGTACCATTTCTTTTTATATTTGATGAGTTATACAGTTTAATCTCAATGAAAACCACACACCCCCTGAGCTATCTCCAGTGCTGAAACAAGTCTGTTAATGCGCCACAAAGAGATAGAGAAACATGAGAGTGTGAGAGAACTGCTCTAGTGAGTGCAATCGCATCGCAAATTAATGATGTATGCTGTTTGAGACAATGACAGCGGTCCTTGATAAGTCTCTGACACTAGCCCGATGCTGATTATTATTGCTTTGCTAATTACTCCTACGACATCCTCCATTACGATGATTTACGGTGTTAATGGAGGAAGAACAAAGACTCTATTGCATTTTGGCTAATTGAGATGCACAGTATATCCTGCCGAGTGCAGGTGTGCTGGAGCGCGTGGTCACTGGGCCAAAGCCTGCCTCAAACACCTCAGGATTTAGTGGAACACTGTATCCTGATTAGCAATTTTTCCGTGTCTCATTTTGCCTTCTGTGACACTTGATTTAGAACTTGTCTACATCTTATGAATAAATTTACTGGTAACTACATCAGTACTGCTGACTTTTATTACTTTTACGGTGCTTACAGTCCTTTCCAATTTTGTTCTTTAATTGAAAACACAGAATGGAGTACTTCAAGTGTCTGTAGAGAAACCACACCAGGGCACAGCTCAGTGTTTGTCAGCACCTCCCAGTCTACAGCCATTCTTCAGGGACCAAGAGCCTGCTCCCTCAGGAAAAAACACCCCTTCATCTCCTTCTCAGGGTGTAAGTAATCCAGCATTGATGTGAATAATTTGTCATGGTGAGCCTGGAACAGGACTTGGAACTTTTTAGTTCTTCATTCATTTTCGCTCACTTCATCTTATCTCTACCAGGAGGTGTGCCCAAATCTGGAGGACTTGTTTAGTCCTGTATCTCCGGCTTCTGTTCAGACAGCAGCCTCATCTCCCGATGGCAAAGTATGATGATTAAAAAAGACATTTCAGTTGCTAAATTTACCCTCTTTTTAAACTATGTTTTTGATCATGGGCTTTCACATGAGGCATTTGTATCATATAGTAACACTATATGTAGTTTAAAACATTACATGTTGTTTCTCATCAGGACACAGATCATGAAGATGATTTCATTGACATCATCTTGCAGAGAGGAGGTAAGATCTCAAGATCTCAAGATCTCAAGATAGATAGATAGATAGATAGATCATGTTCGAGTTTTTTGCCCTCAACATCATGTTCATCACCATTTTCAACTCAATCTGGAGAAGCAGGGGCACTGAAAAAGCTCAAGAGGTCCAAAGTTGTTGTTTTTTTTTCCCTATTGGCTTTTTGTCATCACATTTTCATCACATCTCATTTCAAAGTTCAGCAATTCCATTATGGAATCATGGATTGGTAGTTATCAGCAAATAGCATATATCAGTCAGTAATATTGGCCCGCTGATTGGTCAAGCTCTAAGCTATATTTAGTTACTCTGTAGGTTTCTGACTTAATCAGTGTTTTGATTTGTTGTCACTAATACCTGCTGGGTTCTGTGTGGGGGTCGTGCTGTTGGTTTCACTGCCTTAAGCCTTCCCTGGAGATATGCTCCAGAACAGAGCGAGCCACTAAATATAAATTACTGCAGATGGAAATAGAGAGAGATGTAAATAATCTTCTTTTGCCCCTAATACTTGGTTTAGAGTTCTTTCTATTTTTGTTGTTTTAATGTTATCTTTGTCTTTCCTTTCAGAAACTTCCTGTAAGCCTCCACCAGACCTCTCTCTGAACCGCCTTAATCAAGACTCCTCTGCTTGTTCACTTCCTCCCTCACCACTCCAGATGTTGCTGCCCCCGTCTCCCCCCATTCCGCCTTGCTGTGGCACTCCACACCCTGACCCCTCTTTGCAGCCTGAGCTTCAAACTGTGGCCGACACCACAGGACAGAAACAACACCTTAGTCATGCTGAAAGTGGGCGCCTTGAGGACTTCCTTGAAAGCACCACTGGAAGGCCTCTTCTCGGGGTGGAGCCCGGAGGTCTACTTAGCTTGATTGATGACCTTCACAACCAAATGCTGTGCACTTCCAGCATTCTGAACCACCCCCTTTCTCCCATGGATACCTCAGACACGGCGTCATGGGAGCAAGGGTTGGACAGTATGGACTGGTTGAATCTTACCACAGAAAGAGATAGAGAAGAGGAAAGTCCATCACTGGCTCTCCAAACTCCCCCTAGTGTCTTTTCCACAGACTTCCTGGATAGTTCTGACCTGCACATACATTCGGAATTCTCCCTATAGCCTAGAGCTACTGGAAAACTGATATCCTATGTAGATGGGTGCAGTTACTCATTATCCAGTCACTTACACATAAAAACATGCAACTGATTGCTGAGGTTTCAGTATTTGATTAGGGCACTTAGTCTCTATGTTCTCAAACATTTGGATATTGGATCTTCAAGAACTTTGACCTTTGTTTATTTGTTTATATTTTGCTGCACTGATTTTGATGCTCTTATTAGGCAGGTCCTATATCTGTTAGTGCATCTTTAGCAAAGGTCTTGTTGACACTTTTGTGCTTTTAACTCCAACATAATCCCCAAAAATATAAATTACTCTTATCTTGTCTTACCATAGACACAGTGTTCAAGTGAAGAGGTATGAAAACTTACTTGATATTTGTCTAATGACAATGCAATCTCCTTGCTTGTAATTTAAATAGTAATCAGTAACCAAAGTTAAAGGAGAAACTTTTAAGATCGATACCAATATTGGGTGAATTTTAAAATGAGATATTCTGATATATCGGCTGATATTTTTTCTCCTTTCAGGCACAGAAAACACAAACAGATTTCCTCGATAGTTGCTATGTGTAGTTATTTATTTACTTGTTTGTACACTGCCCAACTCTGCTTGGACTAGTGGGACACCGATGCAACACTGATGTTGCAAACACATTTACTGCCAAAAGGGAAGTTGCAAGCGCCCTTTGTTGGGCAAACTATGCAAATTCAAACCCACATAACATGGTTGAAGGGTGTTTCTCCCTTCTCTTCTTTACTTTAAAATTTTCAGTCATCAGCCAATAAATGCAGATACCGATAGATCATCAAATATCTAATGCTGGCTAATAATAGTGGGATTTACAATGACTGTAGCTCCATGTTATGGAAATAACTTTGGATATTTTGCAGGCTACAGCTATGAAAGTGTTACTACTGTATTTAGTGCTAGTCAAACTTACACACATTATGTATGTGCTACTGCTCTGGAACTGAACTCTGGATTTTTCAAGGATTCATTCCCATGAAAAATCAAACTGTTGATATTTCACAAGCATTTTCATGCTAATATGTTATAAGTGTTGTGGTACAGGATACATGTATCTCCAGAATTAAGTACAAAAATCATCCAAGCACAACATCAAAACTTAGGTTCACATTTAGCTTATGCAAAATGTTTGGAACAATCATGAATTATTACATCAAAATCAACAGTGTTACAATAAAGGGAGTTTAAAGGCTGTATTTGGCTTAAGTCCCACAGTATAGTGGGGAAAACAAAAACAATGACAGTGTTGGTATTAAATGTTGGTTTTAAAAACCCAGACTGCACAGCACTGTTTGCGTTTGAATTTATAAAACTATGCAAAAAAAAAAAAAAATAGAAAATTGATTGTGACAGGAGAGTTATGGAATGAAACTACTGAAAATTGTTGATTGTTTCATTCACAGCCCAGCTTCTCCTAAAGAAATATTATATACATTATATAGAAGATTAACTGTATGCCAAAGACAAATCCCTGGTTTTGTCAGTTTTGAATGTATATGGAACGTGAAAACTGATATGTGAGCTGCTGGTTCTTGAAAATAATGAGGAAATAAACAATATAATAACAATGCCGCAATTTATTTGGCACTTTTTCAAAAGAAAATGTTGAACTGATCAGTGTTTTTGACAATATAAAGTGTAATGCCCAGTGTTTTACTGTTTTGTTTGGGTTTATTTTAGAGTTCCAAAATGATATAAATGTAAATACATGAAACATTATTTTAAAAAACTCTGAGCATTTTATATTTCTGTTTAATGTGTGAATCTGTTGGTATGATATGCTCACAGTGCTTCCTGTTTATATACTGTTTGGTATTTATGGTATATTAGTGATCCCCAAAAGGACTGGACATTGCCTGTATTCAGCCGTCTTTATGTTTGCTCTTGTTATAAATGGTCAATGCACACGTGATGATGAAAGAGAATAAGATATGATATAAAAGGAGAAACGCTTGATGTCTGATTCACTTATTTTGAATTCAATTATTCTTAAAGGATTTTTGCAGTTATTTTGTTTTTTACTTGTTTAGTTGTCCTGTACTGTATCAGAGCTTTTAGTGCTGTCATTTCACATTTCAGACACTGAACACTTACCATTTTAAGGCACATTTGTTTCTAATTTTCTTCTTTTCTTCTTGTGTAATTCAGGTTTCTTGGTGCTGTTTGATCAGAAATTAATTTGTCTTGAGAATAACAACAACAACAAAACATTTGAAGGCAATGTAGACAACTATGATGATATCCATGAACACATATGCTGAATTTACCATGCACATGCAATATACATGTCATTACATTTTTCAGTGCGTTACTATTTATATTGTACTAAATGTGTAATGTTCTGGCTCCTATGAAAGAGCTGCTACTGCATTTTGAATTTGTTTTACGCAATACTAATATTTTATAAGTGTTGTGGAAACTGTCATAAGACCATGTTTCCCCTGTGGGGAAAAAATATTTCAGGCATTCTGTTGTAGGTGGAAGAAATATTTATTGCATCTTAGTGCCAAAGAAAGGACAGTCCCAAAGGCTACTCTTTTCTTTTTTAACTATTCATATGTTGCTCTTTGTTTACTATTCTTTTCAGATGAAGAACTCGCTTCGTTTCAGCTTGTCTAATCTTCAGGTTTCTACTATGGAAGAAGAGTAGAAAGTGGGCAGTGGTCCTAAGGTCACACATACAGTCAGGTGATGGTGATGCAAAGACCCTTTAGACCAGCGGTCCCCAACCTTTTTTGCACCACGGACCGGTTTATGTCTGACAATATTTTCATGGACCGGCCTTTAAGGTGTCGCAGATAAATACAACAAAATAAAATCAGTACCAGTACAAAAAAGGAAGATTTATTCATAACACATGGAAAAAGACCCGGGGAAACCGAGTTAATGGGAAAAACGATAAAAAGAAATAATGATAAAAACCAATAGAAACCCTGAAATACATAAATTTCACACATACTGACACAAATCCCTATCCTAAAGAGGACACCAACAAAAACCCTCTTTCTTTGGTGTTTGAATGCAAAAGCTACAACACAAAGAAAAGTTGAAAACCTGCCCAAAGACATTCAAAACTATCACCACTGCACTCTTTTTGTGTACAGTGCTGTGTGACTGTCTATGTCTTATTAAATAAGCTTACTTATTATCAGTGTTGGGCAAGTTACTTTGCAAAAGTAATTAATTATAGTTACTAGTTACTTCTTCAAAAAAGTAACTGAGTTAGTAACTGAGTTTCAAGATTCTAAAAGTAATTAATTAATTGAAAAGTAACTATTGCATTACTTTAAAAAAAATGTTTAACCCTCTGTCCAGGGTATAATTGGCCACTTTTGATTTTCCCTCCACATTTCACCTTTAAAAACTATTTACTTTGCCTTGTTTGGTATCATCCTTTTCAGCACAACCTCACGTGTCTGAATTTACAGTTATGTTTTCATTTTGACATACTGTATTAACACAATTGATAAAAGCAGACAAAAAACATAAAGTCTGAGTAGAAAGTTATATTTTTTACTGTAATAACCACAAACATGTTTATTGAATCATATTTCATAATTTTAAATGCAAATATAAATTGTCAATTTTAAAACAATCTGCACAAGTTTTGCAAACAAAGTTATTTGCAGCCATTTACCTTTTACCCTTTTTTTTATAACCATTTCAAACTATTTACAGAACCATCAGCTGTTCTGCATTCAGTAAGATGCCTCACAAATTATTTGTGCCCCTCCAAAAAAACTATTTCTGTCCACTATGAAGGAGAACATCACAGCCTGATACCTGCAGGTCTGACAGCAGCAGGTGTATCACTCCTGTTTCTACCTGGAGACAGCAGTCGCCTCATTGTTCTGACACACAACACAATACTATCCACAGCACTACACACTAACTACACAAGACAACACATTAACTACACGCTCCAAACACGCTAAACGTCACAAATCTCTCACATCTCAAAACTCCCTCTCTCTCTTTTTCTGCTGTCTTTATCTCTCTCTCTCTCTCTCTCTCTCTCTCTCTCTCTCTCTCTCTCCTGAACCTTCCCCCTCTTCCTAAACAACCAAATGTCATTTTGCCATATCATTTTTTGATTGACGTTACATTTTTCCACCAAAACGAACGGGCTGTTTTTTGCTTTGTTTTTTTATTTTTTGGCTCATAAGCAGAGAGTGCTTGCTGCGCTGTCCTTAGACAGTAAACGTAGCGAAACTATTCAGGAAAAACACGCTTATATATTATTTATCATGACTATGGTTTTACGTGGTCTATCGACACAATTTATAAACTGGTATATGTCACCTTGTTGCTTTGTCTTGAAGTGGTCATGTGATTGGCTTACCACGACTACTTTATTCTTCCTCAGTCAAACAGCAGCACTCATGTGATTGTTTTGCCCCCTTAGCTCCAGGTGTTGTGTCAAAAAGTGATTGTCTACCAGAAATTGATTGCCGTCCGCGGGAGCACGCGCAGCTGCTTAAAGCTGTAGCGTCCAGATTACTTACAGCTACTTCCGTGCAACTGATATAAAATGCGGTAAGCTGAACACAGCTTCAACTGTCTGTTTGTTGAAAAATAGTAACACGACCTCACCGCATTTTCTTGTTAGTAACGATGGGAATAGTAATTAGATTAGTTGTTAATGACAAAAGTAACGCCGTTATTCCCATCAGTGCTTATAATTAACTACGTACGTACTTAAACATGTCAGTCATGGTACTGATACTGGCCATTGTGGACCTAGCATGAGTCTATTTTTATATAACTTTAACAATGTGGAAATAATTTGTTATATGTGGATCTTGAAATTCATAAAATAATCAAATAATCATATTTGTACCCACTAAAATACATATGCTATAATAATATTAATGTAAAAGTAGACATGTTACAGTACATTTAATAAACCTTGAACTGTTCTCTTGCAGATACGGATTGACTTCTTTAGATAACCATTACAGCACACTCACGCTCACTCAGCAGCAGAAGCTTTGATTCTATAAGCCAGAATAAAACAGTTTTTCAGTGAATTCATTCTTTGATTAGTTCCGGTTTGCTTGTTTGTTCCTTGATATTCTGATTTAGCAAAGCCGATGATACTGAAGATAATTGCAGGCTTATCTTCACACCCACAAGCTTGCTGTTTATTTTCAAAGATGCATAGAATCTCAGAAATAGAAATTCATAGAGACCTACAGGAGAACGAGGAATGCAATCCAGTGTTCATGCAAAGCAGTACACATATACACTAGTGTGTCTCCTCAATGCATTTCAGTACTTGAACAGGGGGGTGAATTATATGTTGTCACATCACTGATAACACAGATCACATATGAAACGTAACACAGATGAATACACACAGACTCTCACCATGAGGGAGACGGAGGTTTATTTGAAAATGATAACATACTCTATAGTCTAATGCAGGGAAGCGGGCACTCCACAGTGGGGGTCCATTGCCTTTCACTCAAACCCATAACATGGTGGCTGGTCTCCACCTTCATCATTCGTCCTTTTTTCCTTCTTTTCATCCTAGAAAAAAGCAAATATTACGGCTGGGTGTGCTCTTGAGGTAGTTGAGAAAAATGCTGAAAGGTTAAAGCTCTGAAGCAATTATGCAAATTATCACTAGGTAGCTTAAACTATACATGCACTGGCAGTTTTTCACATTTGCTCCTCTTTATAGTATATCATTGTTAACTGTTTTAAAATTCACTTAAGGAAAAGTGGAGATGTGGTTCAAGTTTTGATCTTGACTGACGTCAGTGCAATCAAGCAGCTTGCGTTGTCACACCAGACAACTTCTTAACTTGTGGAGATGTCCGTAAAGCTTCCATCCCGGCAAACTGTCCCATTATCTCGCTTTCCCTGACTGCAGAGCTTCACCTTTGGCATATGAGCCACAGCAGGGGGGTTTGATATTAGACAGCCTGAAGTGATTCTGCAGATGCTTTGATGCGCCTCAGCATTACAGTAAGGGGTCTGCTTGTGATGTGGAAGTATGTTAGCATTTCCAAACACAGACAGCAACACATGCATCCACAAATATACACAATACCTACATTTACAACACGTGGACTTCCAAGTACACAATGGCTGTTTTATAACACTCCTACAGGAGCACAAACTTATATTTTGAGAAGATTCAGAGCAATGTCTGATTACAACATTGTGGTGGTAACAAAGGTCTATACTTTGCTAGGAAACTGATACAGTGATAGAGTCTGTTCCTTATCCTTCTTGAGCAATAGCTCTCCAGGTTTTCTAAAGGGAATTTCTTTTGGACATTGGCTTCTTTTTCATCCATTTTTAGTTGTTTAATAGACACAATAGACACATTAGCTAAGAACCTATTTAAAATTGTATTTTTAGGCACAGTTACAAGCAGCCTGTCGTACAAATGTATCATTTGCTCCTGTTTCATTAGCTGAATGATCCCCTCCGAACTTAACCAGACATTTCACATTTGCATTCTTCACTCCATTAGACCCGTTGCCACTGATTTTCAGCCCAGTTCTTGTGTAATTAGGCATAACAGCCTTTTGTCCCTGTTTCTCTTCATTAACGATGGCTTTTTGACTGCCAACCTTCCACTGGATCCATTTCTCGTGAGGGTTCAGTGAACAGTTGGATCAACTGAGGTACAGATGCATCTTAGGTCTGATTTTTTTCTTATTCTTGGATGGTTTTCAGGCCTGACACTTCTTCTTTAACCTCTTCCTGTCCAGCTTCATCAATTTCTTCATCAAAAGTTTTGCGAGATCTCGCAAAAGTTCATCGTAATTTTTTTTTCTCCCATGTCCCTTGCCGGGCTCCGTACAAATTCCTCAAAAACAAACAAACAAAAAAAAAAAAAAAACATGTGGTGGAGATGAGTATAGGGTTGAAGCCAACACAAAAGTGATGCAATTGGTTGTGTAGATGTCAGGCGCAAACATCGAACATGACAATCACTGGTAGCAAGTGAACATGAAGACTAAAGAAGGCATATCAAACACTATTTCATCTGCAGACTGTTAACACCCACTGACTCAAACTGGATCAGACTCAGTCCATCTCCATGCGATGAGTCACTACTATTGGCTTAGCAGTCCGTGTGTGTGTCTCCAGTTTAAGACAACAAAAGCACTGATGTGATGACCTCGTGAGAAGCTGCTGTTGTTTTAGAGGACATTTGACAGTCCTTTGAAAGCTGAGGTTATTTCAGAGCCAACACCATGACTCCGCTGTGGTGGATGGAAGGAGTGAAATTGATTTAGGTTTAACAGATTGGGGTGAATGTATGACAAATGACAAATAACATGCAAAATGTGGACCAGTCTGGAAACCATCAGTGATGACATGTTTAGTGACATACAAAGAGACACACTTATACTAAAGTGGCAGATTTCAGCTCCAGCTGCATGTGTAGATAAAAATGCTGACACGGGCTGTCAGATACACATGTGAATGTGTAAGACACGTCTGCAAGTACATGGACACACATTTAAACACGCCAGCATTCACACACAGAAGTAATGCACTTCAGTTCAGTTTTATTTTTGCAGCTCCACCTTACATCAGCAGCCATCTTAAGGGCTTTACGTTGTTAAGACCATGCAACTTCAGAGTTTACTCCCTCTGTCTGATCTGTACCCCTAAAGCTTGGTTAAAGACTGATTGCTGAGCACGACGCCCTGTTTGGAGAGCATGTAATGCAAATACCTCCTCAGACATCTATGTCAAGCAGTTAACAGATCTACGTGAGTGGACAGTGTGTAATTGCTTTGCAAATGGCCCC